AAGGTTAGTCAGAACATTGAGCTGGCTGCCAGTTGCTACACTAAGGAAGAAATTCGGCTGTAGAAGAGCAACCTTGCATGCAATTTACGCTCAGTGCAAAGAACGGGAACCATGACTTTTGGATATTAAGAATCTAGATAAGAAACTAGATTCCAAAGATTCTGTTAACAAGGCAAAGCAGTCTATTTCAGGAATCGTCGCAAGTTTTGAGTTGTGGGATCTTATCCCCGAACGGCCCACAAATACAGCAGTGGCAGTAGTTTGACGAAGTTAAACAACTGAAAAATTTTGTGCTGTGTGGCCTAGCAAATGCCGAAAATTGGGGAGGGGTTCTGAGTCACGTCGCAACCCGGGTTCCTTCCTATCCTTCCTGCATCGTAATCACAGTTAGCGATGGAAAGATTCTGGGAATTTTTGATGAGAGCAAACCTGTGGCCACAATGGATCTTATGAGGCGCTGGGTCAAAAATTGCCTGATTGGGGTGCAATGCGGGCTCATAGACCGGCTTCATCGACGTCTCAGAGACGAATGCGTTTCATCAACGTCTCAGAGGCTGTACTATTGAGAATGAAGCACATACATACACATGTTGAAGTCCCAAACAACTAGTCGTGACTCACATATTAGTGAATGTAAGGTCTGGCAATTCTGGCTACAGCAGGCAGCTCTTTATGGAAATGCACGCGACTGAAACCTGGCGGAATACCGCGACCATACCGTTTCCATACGGCGATCTCGCACATCCCCCTATTTCCAACGTTTTTGAAAACATCCAAATTTTGCGGATACTGTCTATTTGCGTTCCTTCGCCATCGATCAACTATTCTCCTCCACAAATTCGCCTTTTAATTTGAAAATGATAGTCTAAACCTATCGTTAACTGCAGCTTCGAACTACTCTTTTGAAATGAAATAGTGTTTTTCGTCTAGATGTTTGAACACAATGCTACATTCGACGAAGCGGAAGCGTGGTGTGTGGCTGAAGGAGGACATCTGGTTTCTATACACAACCANCCCTCCACAAATTCGCCTTTTAATTTGAAAATGATAGTCTAAACCTATCGTTAACTGCGGCTTTGAACTACTCTTTTGAAATGAAATGGTGTTATTCGTCTAGATGTTTGAACACAATGCTACATTCGACGAAGCGGAAGCGTGGTGTGTGGCTGAAGGAGGACATCTGGTTTCTATACACAACCAAAAGGAAAACGAACTCCTACGCGGTAGGTTACATACAGCTTGCGCAAAGCTCATCTGATGGAAAGCAGAATTTTGGAAAAACGAAGATTCCTCGATGGGGTGCAATTTGGAGAAAAAGAGGGTATGGGTTCGGGACTTAGGTATCTCAAGTAAAAACGAAATCATAAAGGACATTACACTTCACATATCGCCATGAAAAGAATAAAGAGTTGAGCCTTCGGTAAATAATTAGGTTGTTGGGATACGCCCCAGTTTTCGACTTCCACTCACAATCGCAGGGGCGTGTCGGATGCGTTTTTTAGAACCATGCAATGAACGTGATGCAAGACGAGTTCCTAAAAGAGATACAGTATGGCCCAGTCTAGCTATACTAGCTATACAGAATAGCGAAGCATTCCTGGATAACAAATGGAGCAAATGGATGGATGGATAGAAAATTTACCAAGCTCAGAGTTCGATCGCAATGAACCATTATCATTGCCTTTTTTCACTGTGATCATGGGTTAATAATAAGCAAATACCCCAGTTTTTACATTACAGGTTCACTCATTTCGCTTGCTCTAAGAGTTTTTTTAGCGATTACAAGGACAGACGTGCTTCCCAAGGGTTATGGTTATTTTGCTTGGATTGGCTTACGACAAAAGAATTGGCCTGAAGACAAAAAGTGGACATGGACTGATGGAACGCCGGTGGATTACCTTAATTGGGCTCCTGACGAACCTAATAACCACGAGGATTCGGAGCACTGCGCACAGGTTCCTTTTTTATTCATATCAGCGATTGAATCACCACTCAAAAGTAATCTTCTCTAAAGGCAGGAGTTTGGAAAGGGAACACAACTTCGAAGTTCTGGGTTCATTCTATAAATGAATCAAAAAAGAGTAAGCAGTAGCGGTCAGAAATATCCGCCAAAACAGCCTGCTGTGACTATCTGTTTTCTTGCTTGACCGATTTTCTTAAAAATTCTATATGTCATATGTAGCGCTGTCACAAACAAAATACATTACTTGCACTTTATTTCAACCACCTGCAGCAAAAAAGAAGGTAAACTTTCAGAAGAACTTGCAAAAACCAGAGAGGAACCAACTTAGCAAGAAAATTGTAGCAAATTGCCAAAATCAAAATCATAGCTACTGCGAACGATTAATATTTCATCGGGAGGCCACGACTTTTGATGGATGCTGCACCACAAGACGGCATTGATAAGATGATTGACCTTCTGAAGAATGTCGGCATGATTCCTTCCCTTTGCAAGTGAAGCAAACTTTGGATCACAGTTGCTGCGCCGTCTCTCCAACCCTTCTCATCAGCGTTCGATTGGATTGAGGTTTTCAGATTGCTTCGGACAGTGCGGAAATCTCACGCTTCTGTGGGAACGCGTCTTCCGCAGTATGAGAGGTATGTTTCTTATGCTGCAAAAGACGCGCTCAAACAGATGGGTCATTGTATTGCTGCGAAACCCATGAGGCTGGCATATTCTCCTCCGTCCATGAGAAAAATTTTTCGAAGACATTTTAATTTCGTTTCTGTAGATTTGAGTATTCATCCCGCCTTCAATTTCAAGAATAGGACCTGATCCTTCAAACGAGAATGCACTGTACACCACGACCGATCCCTCCGTGCTTGACAGAGGGTTTGGTTATATCGGACTGTATTATGTCTTTCACCAGTGAGACGCCTCACATACTAGATCAGAAGAGGTTGACTTTGCTGTCATCGGTAGACAGAACCTTGATCCAATTGCCTGATGTGCGGTGCAGACGGCGGCGAGCAAGCTAACTCATGTTTTTCTGTTCTTCAGGCTACTAGCAGCTTTATAGCTGGATGCCTTCCAATCGATCTTGCTGCGGTAAGCCTTCCTGCCACAGCCCGTCCAGTTATTTTAATTCATCACTGGCATTGAACTCACTGCAGTTAGACGCTGGTGAGCGCAAAGGGGGCTTTTGAGAGCTTATCCTGACGAGTAGATGTTGAACACGGTCTGCCGTTTTCGGAGCGTCAATCATCGTGTTCCTATAATGGGAACGAGTGAGAACCAATGACAGAGTGTG